TCTCCTGGTGCAATTGAATGGCTGTGCAATTTGGACATTAATATTTAATATTTAACTTAGGTTACAATTCCAATTTGAACATAATTATTATCTAAATATTACTTTTATCGTATTGTAATTATCCATATGCTAAATAAATAAAATAAATTTATTATATGGTGCAGAAAACTAAATATTGATCGTCGGTAATTCGAATAAATCCAGCTTATAAAGGACAAAGAAAAATTAGCTGGTGAAAGCGCCAATGTAAGTATATAACAATACATGATTGAAATTCGCCCGCCACATTTTTAACCTCAATTAATTCATATTATGTATTTACTTAATATTATACTACCTTACTAGATATCTTAATTTATTATTTTACAGAATGATAATATTAGGTATATTGGTTTCAGGTTCATTCACCACCAAGCTCTCCTACTTATAATGTCCCCCAAAATAATACAATAATTATTGATGATGATCCAATAGCTCACAATGGTATTGACTACTGCTACTCCCAGAGCTCCCAAGCTTTTATTTGGTTCTAATGATATTGATATTACTCATATTATCATGTCTGCGTGCATGATCTTTGCTGCAGAAAACAATTCTGCTCACCAGGACAGGAGTTATCATTGAACGAAATGCATTTCAGTGAGAACAACATTATCGAAATTAACTTTTTTGAGCCCCAACTGGTACAATATTCTAGTCGTGATGATGACATGGCATCTTCTTTACATGAAGGTGACAATGTTCAGATTACACTTGGGTCAAACATTGGCAATGAAAAATATGAAGATAATAATAAAATGCATAGATCAGATATTATATCAGATAGCAGAAATGAATCATCAGAAGAATACAATCCAGAGAATAATGTAGATAGTTCTGATGAAAATCTTCCAGTATTAATTGTAGAAAATGATAGCCATCCTGTTGGTATAGACCTAATACCTACCTCTACAACAAACAATATTGAAAATGAACCAGCTAATGAAAACCAAAAAAAATGGAAAGTCAAGAAAGCAAAAAAGGAACCCACAAGAATGAGCACGTAATATTAGAAAAAAAAATTAGGGGAACCTATGTGACTAAGTCAAATAAGAATGTTTGTAGAAAAGATTTAAGAGAACCCTGTGGAGAAAAGTGTAAATTTGAGTGCAACAATAAAATAAATGTGGTGCAACGACAAGATATTTTGACGTCCTTTTGGGCACTGGGACACAACACGAAATAAAGACAATTTATTTGTTCTAACACCGAAATAATTGTTACCAAATAGCGTTATGTTAGAGAGGGTAGTCAGAGAAAACAAAATCAAGGATTCTACCAACCTACTGAAAGTAAAAAAATTAAAGTTTGCAAGAAATTCTTTATGGCAACTCTAGATGTGGGTGACACGATGATATGCACGACATTTCAAAAAAGGGACGATAAAAACATTGCTATGACTGATCAACGTGGAAAACACAAGAACCACAAAAAGTTAGATCCGGTCTTAAAAGATGAGGTTAGGAAGCACATTGAATCGATACCCACAGTGGAGTCCCACTATTTAAGAAAACAGACAGAAAGACAGGTTAGTGAAGGAAGTCTAACCCTTGCAACGTTATACCGTGATAACAAGAGACAATGTGAAGAAGCTAGCAAAGAAGTTTGTTAAGAGTTGCATTTATGAACAAATTTTTAATTATGAATATAACATTGGGTGGCACCAACAAAAGAAAGACCAGTGCAGCACGTGCGCTAAATACAAAAATTCTTCACTGGAAGATAAAAACAAGAATTGCAAGAAGAATATTCATTACATACGAAACTGAAAGATTTGTCGCGAGAAGAGAAAGAAAAAGATATTAAAGAGGCGGACAATAGTGAAGATAGAATTGTAGCCGTTTATGATTTACAAGCGGTTCTTTCTACACCGGTTTCTGAGGTGTCAAATTTTTACTTATAAAGGTTATTTGGCTACCTACAACTTGACAATATTTAATATTGTGAGCAAGGAAGGGTTTGCTACATTTGGTCGGAAAATGTCGCAAAACGCGGAGCCAATGAAATCGGAAATTGTGTCCTCCAATTTTTAAAGTCGTACTGCATAGGGAAACATGTTACGTTTTATTCTGATAACTGTGCAGGACAAAATAAAAACAAATATATTGCCTTCTTGTATCTCTATGCCGTTTACATTCTTGGTGTGTCCAGCATAACGCACAACTTTTTCATAACTGGACACACACAGAATGAAGGTGACTCGATGCATTCGTGCATAGAAAAAGAGAAAAAAAGGATTTTAAAAGGAGGTCCAATAATTATTCCTGCACAATGGATACCAATTATTCAAGGAGCTAAAAAGAGAGAAAAGCCTTATAAGGTGAAGGAAATGGACAGAACCGAAATATACGACCTACAACGATACAAAAACAATTTATTATAAATATGATTATAGTTCTAAAGTGTCATATACGGAACTAATTATTGTTAACAATTGACAAAAGAACGCGGTGCTTGTGTTGGTCGTCCTAAAACACTTCTTCTAAAATAGGCCTACCAAGAAGAACTGAAAATTTCACGAAAAAAAAAAAGGAAGGCTTTCTCACTTTGCGCAATAAGAATCTGATTAAGAAACCTTATCAAATTTTTTACCTTAATTTAAGGAGGGAGTGATAACATTGTAAATATTATAATCATTATACCTTAATTCCGTTTCTCCAATTAGTTCTTATTAACCAGTAAATAAGTTGATTTAATAACCATAGTTCGTTAGTAAATGAATAGTTTATTTAGTTATTAACGTAAGTGTTTTTTAATCAAATTAAAGTTCTCTTGTGTGAAACTTAAAACAAAAATTGTACAAAATTTTAATGTAACACCATCATAAAACCAAATTTGCATGACGGCATAATAAACAATTTGGTTTAAAACCTCCTATTTTAAAAAAATCATGTTACTGTACACCATTAGTTAGACAATAGAAAGAACTAATTGAGTTTTAAAATTTATTAACAGAAGGATCGATCGTGACTTTTTTTACCATATTGAAAACTTTGGGTTGATTTATCTCAAAAATATACAGTTGTAAGTTATTGTATGACACCATTGAGAGCGCGAAATGTGTTATTTAATTTTAATTTTATTTAATTTTATTTAATTTTATCTAATTTTATTTAATTTTATTTAATTTTATTTAATTTTATTTAATTTTATTTAATTTTATTTAATTTTATTTAATTTTATTTAATTTTATTTAATTTTATTTAATTTTATTTAATTTTATTTAATTTTATTTAATTTTATTTAATTTTATTTAATTTTATTTAATTTTATTTAATTTATTTAATTTTATTTAATTTTATTTAATTTTATTTAATTTTATTTAATTTTATTTAATTTTATTTAATTTTATTTAATTTTATTTATATTTATTTAATTTTATTAAATTTTATTTAATTTTATTTAATTTTATTTAGTTTTATTTAATTTTATTTAATATTATTTAATTTTACTTAATTTTATTTAATTTATATTTAATTTTATTTAATTTTATTTTATTCTATTTAATTTTCGTTAATTTTATTTAATTTTAATTTTATTTCATTTTCATTAATTTTATTTAATTTTATTTAATTTTATTTAATTTTATTTAATTTTATTTAATTTTATTTAATTTTATTTAATTTTAATTTTATTTCATTTTAGTTAATTTTATTTAATTTTATTTAATTTTATTTAATTTTATTTTGGTATAACGTTGACGTTTGTAAACGTCATTTTATTTTTATATTAAGAGTATAATGTGTATCTTACTCAATGAAGTATTATAAATATATTTAATACGTCATTGATCTTACCTTAAAATTACAGTAACCTATATTTTTAGCAATGTTGCGAAAAAATTAATTACTGAAGTAGTACAAATTCCGGTTAAGAATATTTGAATCATTAATTTATGGAATAAATTAGCGATCAATCAACCGTATCATTTCAAGAATAAAATATTATTGAAATGTCAGATGTACACTTCATCTAATTTGCATACCAATGCACGTCATCGGCGTCATAGCCCGTGACGTCAAATGATACCAACACGAAATATTTAGGCGATAGGTGTGTTGTTTTTTAGAATCACTTTTCCGAGTACACTGGCATTACAGCCAGATATATATATATATATATATATATATATATATATATATATATATATATATATTATTATATACGCGTAGAAATAATATTTAAAAATTTCTATTAATATTAACTTAAAGAAATACACAATAATGTTTCATTTAATTTGTATAAATGCATTATAAAGCGTTTTTATGAAGAACATTTGTTCGGAACACACTGTAACTGTAATCGAACGAAGGTGAAATTTTGGCATAAATTGATAACACTTATTTGACAGTTGCGGTGTTGACACTTTTTGTACTTTATTATTTTGAATTTTAAAGTGAATACCTCTTGTTTTATATTTTTACCTATTTAATAAAATCTGTTCTTTTAGAACAAAATTAGTGTGTTTTATTTCAAAAATGTCACGTACGAATTTAAATAGTCGTTGTAAAGAGATAATAATACTTTTGTAATTATTATGTGATCTATTTGATTTAAAATGGAGTCAGGATTTTTTTATACTTTGGCAAATATGTCAACTTCGATCTCTGACGTAGATAATGACGTGCATAGGTATGTAAATTAGATGAAGTGTAAGTAGTTCAGATTTTTGTCCTAGGTGGCGTAATTACCTTACTGGACAAACAGTATATCTTTTCATTCTAGCCTTTTATATAGACAAATAGTTTGCATGTAGCTTGTTTCTTTTCTCCTCTTATCTGACTGAGATCTTCAAGAGTTACAGTGCGAAAGGGATTCGTATATATAATTATTTCCCCGTAGTTTACAAAGCGTCTTTTCCAGTTTGCGTAAAAAAACGACAATATTGTTGAGACGTTTTACGAACCGTTTCTTTTAAAGGGACTGATAAAAGGCTTACAAAACAAAATATTCATTTTCAGATTTCCACTGAAGACAAACAGAACTTATCAGGAAACATCGAAGTGGAATGGAATGGAGAACTCATCAATAACTTTGCGAATCTGAGGAGATCTGAAGAAACATTAGACTTAATTTACAAATTAAAAACTCCCAAATTTATTGACAGGCAACTGCTGGTAACGGAAATTAAGTATAAATCTTTAGGCGATCACCATAATTTAACGTGAGTATAACTGACGTTTTTAATTTTTCTTCCCAATGTTGAAATAAAACTCTTAAATTTTAATCATCAGTAAATAATTACATTTAATTTTTCTTTTCGAAACTTTCTACATTGTATTTACACTGTGAAAGGGCTTGTTCTATAACATAAAATTCATTCAATCAGCTCATTTTTATCGATCTAAAAATGTCATAAAATATAGAGTGTTACATTAAAAAAAGAGCCGATGACGTCATCACCTTAACTAAAAGGAAATTTTGTTGTAAAATGTAGAACATTAAACTTAAAATCGACGTGTTTTAGAATTTTTTAAAAAGGATTTTCATTTAGGAAATATCGAATCTATTTCATACTTTACGGACACACTGTATATTATATATATATATATATATATATATATATATATATATTTATATATGTATATATTTATATATATACATATATGTATATATATATATATATAAATATATATATATATTATATATATATATATATATATATATATATATATATATATATATATATATATATATATATATAATAAACCAGAAGTATTTGCTGACCATGTAAGGAAGTAAACTTTAAATATTGGGTATGCAGCAATAAAAATGAAAGGTGTACTCTTTTAAATTTTTATTCCAAGCTTTCGGACATTGGTTATGTCCTTCATCAGGGAGCTACAAATGTGATGAATAATTTTTACAAATTTGTATAATTAATTAAAAATTCGATACTTACAAACTTAATGAGGTTGTATCATAAATGATTTTATAAAAATTGTTGATAAAATTTATCACAGTCTGTTGAGCTAAAACCTATTCCTATATTTAAAATTTTAAAAAATTACTTAACATTCACACAAACTTAATTATTTATACACAAATCTATGACATTGATATTGACATTGGCAAGTGAAAATCTCACATCCCTAATATCAAGCAACTGCTAGTACAACAAATTATAGGCTTATTATTAGGTATATCGTGGAAATATAAATTATTTTATATTTGTTAATATCATTAGGAAGTGAAACTTCAACCTGTCAATGTTTTAAAACAAAGCCTATTAAATTAACATAAATAAATAAGGTCGTAATTCTAAAAACGTTACAATTTATTGTGATTTTGTTTTGTATGACCCCAGTATCTGTGTGTAAACAAAAATTATTAAATTTAAACAAACTAACTTTGTAAAAAAATAAATTCCTCAAAAATGAACTTTTTAATTACTTAAATGTCAATTGATAAATTATTGTTTGTCTTATTGTTGCATTTATCTAGTAGTAACAAATAGGAGAACATTTCATTTAGATGGCCAATATCTGTTCTATGATTCATTGCATTATTATTTTGGCAAATGTAGGCCATTTCCAGAAAAAGTCTTTTGGTGATGTTACTTTCCTGTTCTACTACTTTGATGTTATTGTAGTTTATCCGATGCCCATTTTTAAATGCATGTTCACCCAATGCACTTCTTTCAGGATGTAGTCTATTATCAGACTTGTAGGATGTAATGCGGTCTTTAAGGCATCTTGATGTTTGACCATAGTATACTTGTTCACATGAGCCGCACGGTATACAATAAACAACATCAGTTAAGGATATGAGTGCGGATTGGTCTTTAAGTTTAGAAAAAACTTTGTTAACTGTTAATACCGTTTTATATGTAATTTTGATATTATTAATTGATGAAAAAATTCTACTTAGTTTATGCCCAATGTCCTTAATGTATGGAAGAGATACATATCTAATTGTGGTTTGGTTTTGTAAAGGAAGTAGTACATGCATCTCAGTTCTTAAAAAATTTAAATGAATAAAAAAATGAAATCCTAAATAGAAATTTGTAATAAAGTGAGTAGAATATTGTAAATGATTGCAGTAAAATATATACACTGTGTCCGTAAAGTATGGAACAAATTCTTTTTTAGTTAAACAGAGCATTTTAAGAAATAATCCTGAAACACGTCGATTTTTGTTTTTAATTTACCGTATTTCAAATAATATTCTAATATACAGGGTGAATTACTTTCAAGTAATGACGTCACCGTCATTTTTTTTATAGGAACACCCAAATTTTGTCTCTAGCTAGATTACTCTAGCTGAGCTGATGCCAAAAATGTATCACATGTTAATTCGAATTGGTATAGGGTGGACAAAAATACAATAGTTTTGTGTGTGTTTTTAAAGTAACGCGTTAGTTAAATTAACAATATTATCAAAAATACTTATTGTCTAGCGGACAGAATATAATGAAATATATGACTTTATAAATATTTGAACTGTAGCCCTTGCTGTATTTGACAGTAACCCATACGTTGTACAAGTTAGTCGCGATATCGGTGTTATAAAAACAACGGTACACAAACTATTAAAGCTTGAAAAATGGCCACCCTATAAAATTAAAGTGCCTTTACGCACAGAACTGTGCGCATCTTCTTCAAAACTAAGTAAAACATCTAATGCTGTATCAGCATTTGCAGAGGGACGACCTGATTTCCATGCATTTTCAACCGTACCAGTTTCTCGAAATTTCTTTTTAATCTTACTGACTGTTGAGCGCGTTATAGATCTTTCTTGATATGTATCATTAAACAAATTGCACACTTCCATCTGAGTTCGAGATCTGTCTCTATACCCAATCATCATAAGTATTTCAATTCTTTGCTTTCCACTTAACTCCATTTCTACTTCAAATTAAATTTAAGCAATAATTCAAACAGTTACAAATACCAAAAATATTGTAGTACTAAACTGTCACTGAACATCAATAAATTACTAAACAAATAATGACATTGAACAAAAACATAGCCTACTATGTTTCTTTTAAATTGATAAGAAATAATTTCTTTCATATTCTGTTCGCTAGACAATAAATGTATTTGATATGCGAAGCAATGATGGATAACTGCAACCCAGACCCTCTCTTAGTGCAAAACATCAGTTTTTCTGATGAGACCACTTTCACGTTAAATTGAGAAGTTAACCTTCAGAATTGTAGATACTAGGCAAAAGAAAACGCCCACTGGATGCGTGAGCATCATACACAATACTCGCAAAAGGTAAATGTATGGGCTGCAATTGTAAGAAATCGAATCATCGGACCCTACTTTATCGAAGGTAATTTAAACGGGGCAACGAACCTTGAGTTTTTAATGGGGTATTTCTTACCTACTTTACGTAATTTGTTTCCCAGCAGATGTATTCCTGGAGGTTTTGATGAAAGTTTATGGTTGTAACAGGATGGTGCACCTCCACATTATGATGTAGATATTAGAAAGTACCTAGATGAAATTATTCCGAACAGTTGGATTGATAGACGTGGACCTATTGAAATGCCAGCGAGGTCACTAGATTTCAATATAGTTTTTCTATATATTATATATATATATATATATATATATATATATATATATATATATATATATATATAGTCATATATTTCATTATATTCTGTCCGCTAGACAATAAGTATTTTTGATAATATTGTTAATTTAACTGACGCGTTACTTTATGAGCACACACAAAACTATTGTATTTTTGTCCACCTTGTACCAAAATACGGTAAATTAAAATAAAAAACCTACGTGTTTCAGGATTATTTTTTAAAATGCTTTCTTTAGCTAAAAAAGAACTTGTCCCATACTTTACGGTCACAGTGTATATCGAACACCTAAATAAAAAAATATTATTGATACTTGTTGTAGATTTGAAGCATTCTCTCCCGAAGATCGATCTGTTGCATATGGCACTGTGGATTATAAAGAATTGGCCAATATGAACGGAATACTGAAACTCACCCTGCCCCGTAAGCCCTTCAATAACTCTGGAGCCTCCTTCAGCACAAAAACCAATGCGTGAGTATTATACATTCATTTGTTTCTCCTATAAAGATTAAATCTGGGGTTCTGCTGATTCCAGGAAATAAGAAAGACATTAATTTGAAAAAAAAAACTAATTTGTATATAAGGGAGGCAGTATTTGTTATCTTCTTACATAAAATAAGATAAAATAACCATTCTCCTTTATCTGAAAAAGACTCGGCGCCAAATTATTAAAACTTTGCTTTTGTTTGACCCCGTTCTATAGCTTTTAAATCGTTTTTCTCTTAGTAGCAACTTTTAATTAATACTACGAATAACACCTCTTTGTCTCACAATTATGTTAGGGAATATTAAAAGGAAATAAATTTTATTTAAAGTTTTTACATCTTCATTATTTATTATTAGACATTAACATCGAGCCAAAGAAAGGCTCAGATTACAAAATCCATCGTTAACCCTAATATAAATAAGCGAATATAAACTAGTCAAAGTAAAATTTTTCAAATATATTAAAATGAAACAAAAAGTATATACATACACAAATTAACTACTAATAATAAAATACAATCCGTCTTATTATTTAAAATACCAAAAATTCACCTAAATTTCATCCTCTTGCCATCAAACTTAATTTAGAAATTGTTTATACTCGTGGTTTAAAGTATGCCTATCCTATTACTAATAAATGTAGGTTTTATAATTGTATCAAATATTTTATTTAAGAACGTTTACAACAACCTGCCAGTCATGATAAGGAGTGTCATAGTCAGTCAAGCGTCTAACAAGGTGTTAATCGAACATAAAACATAAAACATAAAACTCATAGAACATTACTTAAAACTAAATACAAATAATATCAGAGTTTATAGTTAATTTAATATTCTTATTCTACGACAGTATCCTTACCTTTGGAGGTTTATGGGAAAGCATTGTTAAAATTATGAAATATCACTTGAATACAGTAATTTGGGATAGTTCGTTAATATACGAAGAGAATAGTGCTAGCTAGCTAGGAGTCATGCATAAATTCTCGACCTTTACGCGCTAACACGGAGGATGCGAAGAACAGAATAATAATAACCCCAGGACACTTCCTACTTGGGAAAGAACTAATTTCGTCGAATTTGGAGGAAGAGTTGAGCACATATACGAATATGAAACAAAGGTGGAGGCAGTTAGAAAAAGTAGAAAGAGATTTTTGGAACAATGGGAGATATGATTACTTGTTAAATCTACAAGAGCGATATAAGTGGCAAAAATCCGTCACAAACCTAGAAAAAGAAAAAGTGTTGATAATAAAGGAGGATGACCCCTCGCCGGGGAAATGGCCACTAGCGAAGATAATCGAAACACCTCCCGGAGCTGAAGGTTTGACAAGAGTCGCAACAGTTCAAAGGGCAAACGAAAAAGTAACTACTCATCCTATATACACGTTAATACCAATTGTACAAGAGCCTACCTCAGGAAAGACAAATAGAGCACGTAGTATGTTGAGAAAAATTATGTTTTGCATTCTATTTTTAATGTTTTTGAAGTCATCAGATGCAGATTTGTACAAAATTTCTACCTCATCCCCCGGATTATATTCAGAGTATCTAAGCGATATTTACATCGATCAAGAGATATGTAAAATAAAAACTCTGGAAAGAAAAAAAATTAGTTGGTGAATGAACGATAGATTTAATGGTAGAAACGCAGGAAGATATGTGTAAGATATAATAAATTGTTATTCACTATAGAGCCAGCTGAAAGAGGAACAAGAACGAGCAAACATGATAAGTTAAGCATTAGATCTGAAAGGTAAAAGAAGGCCGAAGAGGGTGTTCTAGGAACAGTCCTCACATGATTATTTGGTATAAATGATGAAGTATACAGGGACATAGATTCTCTGGACGAAAATCAAAAGAATCTAATAAAAAATTCACACTATCAGACGAAGCTGATGTTACAAACAATAGCTTTAGTTAACTCTACAGAAGAAAGAATAAACAGATATTTAAATAGATTCCGAGTAGCACTGATAAACAAAACTAAGGAAATGTCTAAAGACCTAAGTGATTTCTCATATAGAACTTGTAACAATATTTGTAACAAAACTTTTTATTGCACTTTGGGCGCTACTGTAACAAATAGTAGCTAGAAACTTGGGACCAGGTCCCTGATGTTATAAGATCTGTAGAGTAGTGTGGAGATAAGTTCGAGACTAAATTAACATAGAAGTTGAAACTGAATGCAGTTCGGCTAGCTGGGTATGCTTAAGACTGGCCAGTTGATACTCAAGGTAGGGTTAGGCCTATTTGCATGCCCTAACAGTAAAGAATAGCAAAGATGTAAATTAACTAAGAAAATATAAAAATAACCAAAACGAACTAAGAGTAAGTACTGAAAACCGGAATAAAGAAAGAAGAATGATTTGGGCGCCAGGGAAAATGTTTACTGGACTCTTAGTCTAACAAACACTTCACCGTGTAACTTTATTGCTGCTGCTGACTATGTTTCTATAATTGGATATAACCTTATTAAATAAAAAGAAGGTTTAATAAAACAGAGTCTTACTTAAAACCCAATTTAATAACAATAAAATAGAAACCTGTAAACCTCGTAATATACAATTTAACTTAAATACCCTTATAATATACACTATTATTGACCCCTTTTATATATACAATATATTTACATTTAATAATTTACTAGAAAAATATTAACTTATTTTATAAAGTTTTATTTATGAATTAAAGCAAAAATTAATAACAACCAACATTTGACAATTTAAACAACTATAACTCCTCCCTATAACACAATATATCAGTTTGACAGTTTCCAAATTGATTCCAATCAGATAACCTGTAGATATATTTAAATTGGTCTGTCCAGAAAGGAACAGATATAAGATGAATTGGTGATGTTACAAGTAGGGCTGTAGAAATACAAAATGGACCTTTGTGCAGAAATGATCTTACAAAAAACAATTGTAATATGATCCACCCCTACGCTGTTATAACTATACATATATATTTAAAAGATTTAATGATAAAATAAACAAATGATATTGAGAAACAAAATTGAACGTTATATAACTAATGATACGAAAATATGAGTTAAGAAAATTGACTAAAATTATTATTAAGGTTTTGTTCGTTGACTGATTAAAGTTTAAACAAAATTTAAGGAAATTATTTTAAAATAGTAGGAACAATTATTATAAAGGAACCTGACTAATCTCAAACTGAGAAAGTTCTTCTTCCGGATGCTTACGTCACTGGGACTTGTAAGGTTGAACCTAGAAGTACACTCTTCTAGTAGTTAACTAAACTGCTACTCCAGTAACCGGGAAAAACCAAAAAAAAACTCCAACCAAACTACATGGACTCCATTACCCCAAATTCAAAATAATCCTGATTTGACTTTATAATCCTTTTTTCCTCCAGCGACTAAAAATAAAATCAAAGAAAGCTCTCATTAGCTTTATTCTGAGTTGATAAACAAAAAGGCGATTAGGACAAAAAAACTAGCCGAATGATGATAATTAGTGAAGGTTTGTACACTTTTTGTGACCTTGGAAAATTAATTGAAAACTATGTATTTATAAAAATAATGTTGGGATTTAACTATGAATATTTCAAAGAAGAATTGAAATTTAACATATCTTAACGAATATATTATAGGCACAGAGTAATGAAGGATCTCCTTACATTACCGAATTGCTTGGATATTGATGAGAACGTGTACTTAGGAGAATTTCGAACAGAAAGAATTCTGAACGTGATTTGACTGATATAATTAGGGTAAAATTAATTGGATAAATGATATAAATATGAAACTAGTAATGGTTTAAAAAAAATCATTTACTTTAATTAAAATGAAACTCACCCAACGCAACACTATTTCACTAATTAAAACAAAATCTTCTTATCCCAAAACTTCTAAACTCAAAACAAAGCGCCTTCTGTAACTTAAATAATTGACCTCTGAATAACTTAAAAGTTAATTTATTTAACAACCTAATTATTTAAATAATACAAATTCGTAATGTACGCAGAAAATACATACAAATTACAAAAGAAATGTCGAAACCTATAAACAAGAAACAGAGATACAATTAACAGCTCCCTCCCCCTGCACCGGTCTCACTAGTTTCAAAGCGTACCAATTTTGAGGACCAAAATTTTGAAGCTTAGTGAACGATTCCATTCCAATGCAATCTTTTTTGAATTTTTCGCATTAAAACCTTAAAGTATGTTCTTTCAGGTGACCCAAATATGGTCTCTTGATTGTAATAAACAAATCTGCTATCAATTTATAAAAAAAGCACTAACTTCGTCACAAAATCTCCTAGGTCAACTTTTTATTCTTTTAAATTTGTAAAAAAATTAAGGGTGTAAAATAATGAAAAAATCAGTTTTTGGTTTATAAGCATATATATTATGCTTATAAGCAAAAAATTGACATGTTTTTGTCAAATTATTTTGCAATATTTAAATTTTAAAAATTTTTTTTTTAATATTAATAGAATAAATCTTCTTCTTTTAGAATAAATCCAGAGGTATATTTAATATACCTATTTAGTTTTCTGACTTATATTGTTGCAAAAAAAATTAATTTGGAATAAACAAATTTGATAACTTTTAAACTCTTTGACCGATCAACTTGAAATTTTATTCTTATTTTAAGCACTATAAGATCCAACACTGTGTAATATAAAGTTTATTTTAAAAAAAGTTTATCAACGTTTATAAAAAACAAAAATGACCTATTTTGCTACTTTCTAAGCAACAAATAATGATAGGAACATTTATAAAACGCCATTTTGAAGGTTTTTTTATGACTTCTTTCTTCTAAGTTTCTAATTTCTCTTCTCAAATTTGTTTCAAACGCTTTACTTTTTGCTGCTAGACGAAAAAAGCGAAAATTTACCATTTGTTACCTTAATTTGTTAATAATAATTAATTCCAATTAATAAAGTCCAAAAATGGATAGTAGCAAACATATAGATTTTTGTGACAAAGGTCCATACTATTCAAAACAACTGTCGTTTGCGTGGCAGGTTCAGTGTCACAGACTACTTTTTTTACTTATTTTCCTGGTCTAGTTTATCTAATATGCAAAATACGATACGTAGTGGGCATCAAACGTAATGAAGGGCACTTAGAGTATGGTATTTATAAAGTTAAGACTTAATTTATTCACATATTATTTTCAAGTCAAAAGAAAAGGCAAAAAAAGTATTTTTGAAGTGTGTATATTTTTAATAATTCCTAGCTGAGCGCTTTCGGCTTTACAAAGCCATCATCGGAGCTATGCTACAATAAAATGTTCTTATAAGTACTAATTGGTGAAGATTTTAATTTTTTTACTTACGTCAATTTATAAATACCACTACAATGGAGAGATCTCATTTCCTTATATGTTGAAATATTGATTTTTTATTTAATTACTTAGTTGTTAAAATTCTTAAAAAAAACATACAAAAAACCGACACTGGACTTCACAGACACATTAAAAAATAAAAAATTTTTGTCATGGTACGGGTGTAAGAACCCGACCATTGTTTGCTGTGAGAGGTAGACAGAATAGAACTAATGAAATCAAATGTCGGTCCTTTTAAACGATTTTTCAAAAGTGACAGTTGACAAATGTCACAAAAGTCACTTTTGAAAAATCGTTTAAAAGGACCGACATTTGATTGCATTAGTTCTATTCTGTTTACCTCTCACAGCAAAAAATGGTCGGGTTCTTACACCCGTACCATTACAAAAAATTTTTTAATTTTTTAATGTGTCTGTGAAGTCCAGTGTCGGTTTTTTGTATGTTTTTTTTAAGAATTTTAACAACTAAGTAATTAAATAAAAAATTAATATTTCAACATATAGGGAAATGAGATCTCTCCATTGTAGTGGTATTTATAAATTGACGTAACTAAAAAAATTAAAATCTTCACCAATTAGTACTTATAAGAACATTTTATTGTAGCATAGCTCCGATGATGGCTTTGTAAAGCCGAAAGCTCTCAGCTAGGAATTATTAAAAATATACACGCTTCAAAAATACTTTTTTTGCCTTTTCTTTTGACTTGTCATAAGTGTGTACAAAAAACATATCAGTCTTTTGAATATTATTTTCAGTAAACATATTTTGGGAGTTCGGCCCTGACAAAAGTTGTGAACAAGACTTTTGTCTCGGCTCTTGATATTTTTGTGTTAAACTGTGAAAATTAAACGGTTTAAATTACAGTTAAAGTTTACCAACATTACTTAAAACTGAAAGCTGAAAGTTTAAATATTTCTTATTAGTTAAACTTAAAAACGCATTCTAAACTGGATTTATTAATTTTGTAGATGGTTTATCGATCGAAAATAATTATTATAATTTTCAATATAAGGTTGAATGTTCGAGTAATTAAACTTTGATAGTATACAAGGCAAATATCGAACAAAGTAATTAATTAAATCTTGCCCAAGTACTTTTGATCAATAGATCATCCTCAGGGGCATTTCGTCAGTTGTGGACTATCCAACATGAGCAGAATGTCATACATGTAAATTTGGACATAACAATACAATACACAAAGACAAACAAACACTTTAAAATTTTTAAAAACGAGAAGCTACATGTTATAAGAAGCAGGAGACAGAATGATTCTTAAGGCCTTTATTTTAAATTAAGCTATCTTTGTTAGAATCTATGGAAATCAACAAATTAAAAAACACAAATATAATTCTGAATGACCAGCTTGAGACAAACAGTTCTCCCCTCCTCAACCTATTTCAATAGAGACTATAAATTTGTAAACCCAAGCCAAAAATAGATCACTTGAGAAAGGCAATCAGCCGAAACAGCTGTAGTGATAAGATTTAAAATAAATTTTGTGGAAGTTTGAAAACAAAGTTTTCAGTGTTTTATTGTTACATAAAATAAATTTCCATCAAGTAACGGTCGAATCCGTCAATGATTTAATGATTCCCTATTTAATATTTATATTGTGATTTGATTTGAAATTTAAATATCTGTTGCTATGTGTTGGTTTTCTACACATCTGAGTCTCATATGAAGTATCGTTCTTAGAGATTAAAACATCCAAGAAAGGTAGTGTGTTATTATCATCGAGCAAAAAGACAATAGAGGGAATGTAAAGGTAGTGGGGGCAAACATATTGTTAGACAGGAAGTGCGATCTTCAGAGGCCACATTAAAGAAGGAAAGAGAGTCTCTCTCCTTGTTTGACATCAAATTTAGTTGGGTTATGTTATTCGTTGTCCCGAATGTCACATGGAATCTTATTTATATTGAAGTTTTTTAACAATTGTGTCGCATTTTAAACTCTTATCATTACTAATTAATTTAAACTTTCTCGTCTAAGACACATTCTGAAAAATATTATATAGCTACTGTTGATAAGTGTCGGAAAATTTAAATTTCGCGCATTCGCATTTCCGGATATGTCCGCCATCAGAGGCCACTTTTTTGGTCTCCTTTTCATAAGGATTAGATTCCCTCTTTTGTCTTATTGCTCGATGGTTATTATATTCCTTTTTCATGGTAAAGGTGATTGTCTCTTTTTTATCGTGTATATCATTTAGAAATGTGTCCAACAACTCTGATCCATGAGGTCATGTTGAGAATACATCATCTACATATCTCCATCATACTGTGTGATTTAAATTTTGTTTATACATGATACTTGCTACTGATCTTTCATAAATATATTGGCTAATAATGGAGGTAAACAAGAGTCCATTGCTAGCCCCAAAATTTGGTTTATAGAATTCATTATTTAGTTGAAAATATGTATTACCAGTACATAATGTTAATAACTCCATTATATCTAATATGTTTAGTCTTGTTATAATTGGCAATGTATCATCACTCTCTAATTTTGTGTTGATTATATTTAATTCTAATTAATCTATATTTAAAGTCTTATCTAATGGCACATTCATATATAAACTATTGATGTCAAAACTTACCAAAGTATTATTTGAATTAATTTCAATATTTGATAATTTATTTAAAAAATGTTGTGTATTTTTATAAATTTGTGATTTTTATTTGCAAATGGTTTTAAAATATTTAATAAAAATTATGGTAGTTCACTACAAGGAGAATTCATGGCACTACAAATGGGTCTAAGTGGTATATTCGTTTTATGAACTTTCGGTTTTTTTTTTCTGACGGATATTCTCAAGTTAAAGTTGATTTCATTTACTCTTACATCTTATAAGTAAAATCGTCCCAGGAGCGCAACTCAACAATATTGGCAATATCATTTGAAAGTCGTCTACCTTAAAATGTATAATGTATGTACTTATTGTCAGTATAAATGAGTGAGATAAAATTAAATTATTAGAAGAAGTTTTTCACCAAGTAACAAAAAAACAAAATTTGTTTAATTTACTAATGTTTGTATTTTGAGAACGATTTGCGAAGTGGAAATTGAAACGTCAATAAACGTACTTTAACCTTTAATTGTGTCTTATTCCCATTTAAATGGTAAATACTTTTATATACTTAATATAATAAACGATGACCTGAATCCATGTATGTTAAAATGCATATTTTAAAGTGCAGAATGCCAAAGTATTTGATATCAAAGTAAAAAGCTAAAAGCGTATCTGAAGCAGTCACCTGTGTAAAATGCAGTTTTCAATGATAAAGTTATTGAAATTTATAGTTTAAAAGACCTACCTCGCTCTATCATTTAAGGGAAAAATTCAATAATGTATATGAGAGCACACTTTTAACACAAAGCTCAGCTTAAAATCAGCCCCAATAATGAATTTTTATTTTCAGCAACACGTACAATCGATACATCAAGCTATTTTGGGATGATGATAATGCACTTTTAGACAGCAAGTGTAACATTCAAACAGGTTCTACTTTACTGGATCGACACACGAAGGGTAAATTAATTATTGAATTACCCCTGTCTACAAGACATATTGCGTTGGTTGACTATGATTATTCTGTAAGTAGCTATATAACTAATTTAAGATCACTTTTCATTTCAGCATCAGTTCCTTTACTTTAGTTAGATTTATTGCCAATATTAAACAAGACATGGTAATTTTAGAATTCAGACAGTTAATCACTTTATCAATAATAAGTATGTTATGCTTTTCCCTCTATTAATATATTACTCAGTTAAATAGGTGGTTATTTTTCTCTTTCCTGTTACTACAAGTATTATGAATTGCATTATTTCATATTTTTGTAGAAATATTACATTACCACTAATAAACATTCTTCGGGTGACAGAGGCACAATTTTATTTTGTGTTTTTACATTTCTTTAACTTAGCTATAACTACATAGCTATTCACTTAGCTATAACTACATAGCTAGACATATTTTATAAATACGAAACTTTTTGACATCTCTATCTTTATTTATAAGGTGAATTTTTTATCATCATCATCACGTAGCGCTAAAACCCTGGGTGGGTCTTGGCTGACTGTACAATTTTTTTTTCCAATTTGTTAGGTCTTCCATCAACCTAGGGTAAAATGGAATATTCATTTTCCGGAGATCTGCTTGGATGTTATCTCTCTGTTATGTTCGTGTATATCTTTCGTTATGCAGTCTGTGCACGTGGCCTGCCCATCTTAGTCGCTGTGATTTAATTACTTGGACAATATCGGCGTCGTTGTGTTTTTAATTCGATATTGGTTCTGATCTTATACTGGTTTGTGGTGATGTCATGGTGAGGTCCGAAAATTTTTCGTATTTTTCATTCAAAGCGTCTGAGCTTTTCTTCGTTTGCTTTGGTCATGGTCCACGTTTCGCATCCGTATGTTATTACAGATCTGACGATGGATTTATAGATTTTGATTTTTGAACTTCTTGCGAGATTTTTTAATTTTATGAGCTTATCCAGTGCAAATAGACAGCGGTTTGCAGATTGGATTCTGTCTTTTATTTCTTCAGTAACATCGTTGTCAGCTGTGATTACAGCCCCAGATACTTAAAACGTTGTACTCTTTCGAAATTGAAGGTGTTGACCGTCACATTTTGTCCTATTCTGTCTCTTCGTGTCGTTCTATTTATACACATATATTTCGTCTTCTCTTCATTAATCTTCAGCCCTACTTCACTTGTTGCTCCTTCCACCTTGTTGAAAATGTCTTTCGTGGATAGGATGGAGTCTCCAACGAGATCTATGTCATCTGCATATGCGAGTAACAGCTTGGGACCTTGAACCGATAGCAATTGTGTTTTTATTTCGGCCGACCTCATGGCTTTCTCTAATACAAGGTTAAAAAGTAGTGGAGATAACGCATCACCCTGTTTAAGTCCACTGTTGATTTCAAAGCTGCCAGACAGTTTATTATTTACACGTACTTTAGATATTCCACCCTCCATACAGACTTTGGTCATCCGAATGAGTTTCTTTGGTATTGAGAACTCCGCCATGGCATTCCATACTTGGCTTCTTTCTACGCTATCATATGCCTGTCGAAAGTCTATGAAAAGATTGTGTATGGGTCTGTTATACTCCCATCCCTTTTCTAGAAGTTGTCTCAGCGTGAATAGTTGATCTATTGTTGATCTGTTTGCCCTAAACCCGGCTTGATATTCGCCTAGGACATTTTCAGCATAAGGGATTAGTCTACTAAGAATGATGTTTGAGAGGGTTTTATATGCCGTGTTTAGGAGTGAGATTCCTCTATAATTCGCGCATTTTGTTTTGTCCTCTTTTTTGTGGATGGGCACTATTATGTTTTCCTTCCATCGTGCTGGTATTCTTTCTTTTAACCATATGTGCTTTATTAGCTTTGTCATTTTTCAGCTTCTTTAAGGCCTTTTGGGATTCTTCAAAGGAGGGATTTTTGACGGGCATGTCCGCTGTGATATAGATCTCTTCTTTGTGCTGTTCTTCCTGTATGATGTTTAGAATGTCATTAAAGTAGTTTTTCCATTCTTTAGTTACATCTTTACCGTCGATTATCATACGGCCTTGATTGTCTCTCAGTGTATAGATGGAATTAGTTCTATGTCCGCTTTTCTCGGAGGAAATTGCTTTATAAAATTCTCTGGAGCCTTCTTGGGCCGGTCTCTCTCCATAGCTTCATATTTTTGTTGTTCATAGTTTCTTTTATTTGTGCGTATTATTTTTCATGTTTCTTTTCGGCAGTCGTCATATTCCTTTTTACTTTGGTCTGTTTGCAGTTGTATCCAAGTCTTCCTTACTGTTTGTCTTTTTTCCAGCTGTTTCCGACATTCCTCGTCATACCATGTTCTTGTCCTCTTCTGCCTACTCCTTCAGAGTTCCAGGTTTGTTCAAGTTGTTCTTTATAGTTTTGTTATTTCTCTGCATTGTGTATTTCGTTAATGTTCCATTGTGTGTTTATTGTTGTTTTATTGTATTTGTGGCTAGATATTCTGGATTTGGCTTTTGCTCTGACTAAGTAATGATCTGTGTCTCCGTCTGTTCCTCTTAGGCTTCTTACGTCTATAATACTGTTACCATGACGGGCATCTACAATGATATGGTCAATTTGGTTGCACGTAATACGGTCGTTTGAGACCCAGGTTTGCTTATGGATGTCTTTATGCGGAAACATGGTTGACTTTATTAGCATATTAATACCTACTGCAGTTTCTGTGAGTCTTAAGCCATTGTCGTTGGATACATTGTGTAGGCTGTGTTTACCTATTGTGGGGTATAATGCTCTTTGCCTATTTTAGCATTAAAGTCCCCGCAGAGTATGCGCATATCATGTTTGGGCATCTCATCTATCTCTCTTTTCCTTGATATCGTCATTCTTCTCTTCCGTTGGTGCATGTGCTGAGATGATCGAAATGTTGTATCGTTCTCCCTTCATTCGTATGTAGCATATCATTTCATTTATAGGTTTAAAATTTAGTATATTCTGTACTAGGTTGTGTCTAATCACAAAGCCCGTTCCAAATTCATGTCTTCCGTTTTTGTTACCGCTAAAGAAGATGATGGATTTACTTATTTTTATATTTCCATCGTCTAACCATCTTATTTCTTGGACGGCTGTTATATCTATTCCTATGTTTTCCAGTTGTTCCACAGCATTTATAGCAGTTCCAGGTCTGACCAACTCTGAACATTCCAAATTCCAATATTCATAGTCCTTTTACATTGCATTTGTCGTTTTTTGTGTTTATCTGTCGGGTTCCGAGGCAAAGTTGTAACTTTTATAACTAGTTTCTTTTTTCGAGTGTGGGTATTTAACCCTCTGCTCAACCCTCCTCTTTTATCCGGGCTTGGGACCGGCTGCAGTAAACGGCGACATATAAAGAACGGTACCTTCTAATATTATAATGTAAATACTATATAGAGTAGGACAGCCAAATGGAATATGTGATAATGAATAAATGGGGACATCTTCAAAAACACGCTTGCATACTTGGATTGTTCTTTTTAGCAGCGCATTTTGTTCAATATAATATTTTCATACAGGGTAGGTCATGTAATAGTGAACAAAATCAACTTTCTTATTTCAATTACACCCTATATATTTTTTTCAATTTTTGGATTCCTTATTTTTCCATTTCTATGGCTTCTCGCATAATTGTTGGTTTATAGAAGCCGATGTGGGCTATGGTTCTGGAGTTTTCAAAATAAATTTTGTGACCTGTATGAAGATGGTGTTGACCTAGAGCTAAAATTGAATCGAAATTGAAAACAGAGATGGGATATTTCTAAATCATATTTTGGATTCTACTATTTGTTTGGTCTATATAGGGTCAGGAGCAGTCTGCACAAGGAATATTATATACTCGGTGATGTTCATTTGGAATGTTGTATTTGATTGGTCGGACAAGAGATGAAAGTTTTTATGGGGGGCAAATATTGTCTTTATTTCTTTGATTTAAGAATTTTGTCGATTTTATCAGTGACACCTTTAATATAAATAAGGAAGAAAAGCTTTCATATGATGAGGGTCTGAGTCTTTGGATTGAGATTGAATGGGAGATTGATGTCTGTGGAAGCTGCTTTTTATGTGATTTTCACGGTAACCGTTTTGGAGGAGGGCTTGTTTTTAACAAGAGAGCTCAGCGGGTCTACTTACATCATCGCAAAGGTTTATTTATCTGGAGACAAGGGTATTACTTACTGCAATAATTGGTGAAAGTGAATGATGAGAGTTTCCATGCAAGTAATATTTGGTACGGGTAAGCTTTCGATAAACTGAGTGATGAAAACCTTGGGATTAGTTTTTCTACATGATAACGTCGAGAAACGCTAGTTTTCACCGCCATCGTGAACTGGATACTAGGATAATTACTATTTAAATGGGAATAAGTCACAATTAAAGGTTAAAATACGTTTATTGATGTTTCAATTTCCACTTCGGAAATGGTTTTTAAAATACAAACATTATTTACCAATGTTTGTATTTTCGGAACGACTTCTGAAGTTGAAATTAAAACGTAAATAAACGTACCTTAACCATTAATTGTGGCTTATTCCCATTTAAGTAGTAATTACTTTAAAATGGATACTAGGATGTATACCATTTAGATGGATTTGAAAAGACACTAAAGCATCGCTGCTATGGGGCCACATGACGAATGCATCATCAAGATATCGTAGATAACATGTGGGTTTTAGCATTGATGTGGATAGTGGTCGAGTCTCGAAGTCTTCCATAAAGAGATTGGCAATTACTGGAGATAGTGGGGAGCCCTATTTATTTGTCTGCTGATTTTATTTTGGATGATAAAATAAGTGTTAAGCATACAGTGTTTAAAGAGAGATAAGTTGTCTTTCTGGATATTGTATTTTTTTTAGAATATTTGGAGTTTCGTCTATAGGAATGTTTGTAAAGGGTGAAGGGATATTAAAACTTACCAAAATATCTGACGGCGAGATAAGTTATTGTTTAAGAAGTTTGATGAACTAAAAAGAATTTTTGACGGATGAAGCATTTCCGGCAAAAGGTTGTAAAGTTTTGGCCAAGTACCTGGCCAATAGTTGTGTAGGGCAGTTTTA